TGAAATAAATCATACCTTAAAATAGTTTTGTGTACTAAACCTATTGTGCTTATTAAAATATTAACATATTAAACATGTTTAATTGTTGAAATGTTTGACTGAGGATCTGCTTCTGTTTTAGGTACTTGGTTTTATGCCTGTCATAGTTGGGAAAGGCATTTCACAAAGGGATGTCAATCCACTTGGGAGGAATACCTTAGGAGTTGCCTGGTGTTCTCCTTACTCCTGATTTTATTCATTGCCATGAAGGATGTCATCTCCTCAAAAAGCCCTGTTTGACTTACCCCGCCCCACCTCTTTTGCTCTCTCTTGGGCGCTGCGTGTGTATACCTCTGTGAATGTGTGAACTCCACTGTGCTTCACTAGATTTCCTCATATATCTCACTTCCTCTGGAGACACTGCATTCTTGCCCTAAGAAAATAGAAGTTCTCCATTTCCATTAGGGAAAGGAAGGAAAACCTACTGGTTCTGCCTGAGCTTTGATTTTGCCAAGTTTATTTTTTCTCAACAATCCCAGCATTTGTCTCATTGTCTGTTTTCCTGTCTTAAACCAGTCTCTTCTGGTCTTGGCTGGTGTCCATAGGTCATTTGGGCCTTAAAGCAGGGAAAATCTGTGACTCTGACAGCTGGAGACACATGGCCTGAAAGTCCATGGCCTATGACTCCTTGAGTCCACTAAGCATTTGTGATGGGTTGGGTGCCTAGCCTAACTTTTACTTTAAGAGGATTTACAGCGCCCCCCTGCCCCGCCCCTATTTTTTGAGTACCTGTGATGTCAAAGTAGAAAACTGGAGTTTCAGAGAGATTAGAATTAGATTGGCCATAGCTTCTGACCTCCTACCTAAAAAATAGCAACTTCTTTTCCCTGGAAAGTCAGTTTAGAAGTCTCATTGGAGAAATCACTCAAAAATGAGTAGTTTTTGCCTTATTCTGCTTCTGAGACAAGGCTGGAAGTCAGCCAGGTAAGATGCAGGGAGCCAGAGTAGGCCTGGAGTGATATAGACAGTCTGGTAACTTGGAACCTTGGTCTCATCTTCTCTGGGTTCTTTGCCAGAAGCAGGAAGCCCCGCTGTCCTTAGATGAGGTGATAACCTAGGCCAGTGTTGGTCTTTGAGGAAGCTACTTATATTAAGAAACGTCAGTTCCCTGGCAAAGTTTTCTGAAGTTGAGCTTTTTCTCCTCTTGCCCATCAGACATTAATTAAGTGGCAGAAAATGGATGAAGGCAGACATTGAGTATTTGCTTTATACTGTAAATTACCCTAAAGAATAGGCAGAACACCTTGATGTACTTTTGAGTACTAAAGTGCAGTGTGAAACTTAACCAGAAATTGCTCCATCACGAAGACATGGGCTAATAACTGCTCCTTAACAAGTTAGCCAAGGTGTGTATGTACCTTATTTAGAGCAAAGAAAAGTTTTCTTTGTGGTTTTTGGGGGTTACGGTGAATTCAGCTGTTTTCTCCTGAACAGAAAATGCCACTAAGATGATGGAAAGCAAGGTCTCTGATGAGTGTTGAAAGGCAGGATATGCATGCCCTTCATGTTTTGAAGTTTCTTGTCTAAATTCTGCCTTCCAAAATGGTCCTTGTGATTTTCTCATTAACCTGTCTTTGAAGAATGTTTCCATGCTAGAAACATTCAAGAACATTTCAGGGCTCCCCTGGTGGCACAGCGGTTGAGTGCCGGGCTGTGAAGCTGCCTGCAGCCTCTGCAGTGCTGGTTCAATCCCCGGTCACCAATGAGGGTCCCACATGGCGGGACAGACCTCTCCTGCCACACCCACTGCTCCCCTCAGCAGTGTATTTCATCAGTCTGCCCGTTCTGTTCCCCGCTGTGGCTCTGGTGAATTCTCTCACCCTCCCATGCTTCTGACTGTACCCAGTGCTTTTATAAATAAATAAATAAATCTTTAAAAAATAAAATAAAAATATCAGTAGAGTTATTTAAAAAAAAAACAAAACATTTCTTTTACCTAATATTGTTGAAGCATTTGTTGAGTCTGGGACCCACAAAACTTAGCTGTCCTTGAGAGGAGAAAGTTACAATTTAGTAAAATACACTGTGTTTAGAAGAGAGGGTATGTTTTAAAGAAACATTATAGAGCTCAGAATGTTAAATTTACATAGCCTGCTTATTCGCTTGCCTTATTTTAATTGTGGGTTTTGTTATCTAGCTAGCTAGTCTCTCCAAAAGACATTTCAGTTTTATTCTCTTCATACTCTGGACCCTTCAATGAGAAGTACTATGACTGAAAACCCACACATGACCTACAGCATACCACCATGACTTTAAAACTGAGCGGTGGCTTCATAGTGGCCCCTGACTCAGGTTGGCCAGGTTGTCTTTTGCGTCACCTAGAAAATGGGTCTCTTCCTTATAAAGAAAATCACATGAATTAATAACTGGATCACAATGAATACTGTAAAGCACTATCTAAATGGCAAGTATTGTTTTCAAGCTGTTATATCTGTGGGTGGCTGGTCGGTATTGTTTTGAAGGTTAGAATCCAGATGCCAGCTCATCTATTCTCCAGCTGTTGTTTATCCTCCCTCCAGTTTCCTGGAATATTTAGGTGTAAAGCCTGTTAAAAACAGTTTTATGATACTTTACATTTTGGTATGTAATAATTAAGTCACTACTGATTTAGCCTCTGTTTACTGATGGGATAAAGGTTGAAAACCAAAGAATTTTGTATCCCTTAGAAACAGTGTCATCTAAACATAGAATCTCAGATCAGGCTCCTTTCTACCCCCACCCCACCCATTCCATGCCTAAGAACAACATTCACCAAAGGTTATTCAGGCTCTTACCTCCCTAAGCATTCCATTTCACTTCTCTTTAAAATTTTTTTAAAGATTTATTTATTTATTTATACAAGAACCGGGGTACAGGCCAGATGCACAGGAGGGTGAGAGGATTCACCAGAGACAGAGCAGAGAACAGAACAGGCAGACTGACGAAATACACTGCTGAGGGGAGCAGCGGCGCAACAGGAGAGGTCTGCAGCGCCATGTGGGACCCTCGCCGGCCAGCTGGGATTGAACCGGCGCTGCAGAGGCTTCGGACAGCTTCACAGCGCAACGCTCAACTGCCTGCACCACCAGGGGAGGCCCATTTCACTTCTCTTTAAATTGTATTTAAGGGCCTCCCCGGTGGCGCAGTGGTTGAGCGCTGGGTTGCGAAGCTGCCTGCGGCCTCTGCGGCGCCGGTTCGATCCCCGGCTGCTCCCCAGCCACCGGAGGAGGGTCCCACATGGCGCGCAGACCTCTCCTGCCGCCCGCTGCTCCCCTCAGCAGTGCACTTCGGTCCTTCTGCCTGCTCTGCTCCCCGCTCTGGCTCTGGTGGATTCTCTCACCCTCCTGCGCTTCTGACTGTGCCCAGTGCATGTATAAACAAAAACAAATAAATAAATAAAAACATGCCTCTATTTAAAAAAATTGTATTTAATTTTTAATTAGATAGTACATTTATATAAGATTCAAAAGATACAAAAGGCCTATAGTAAGAAGTCCCACCGCTGCCTTCCAGCCTCTCAGGGAAATAAGTACTACCAATTTCTTGGGTATCCTTTCAAGTTGATTTTATTTTTCACTATATTCTCCCATCACCTCCTTTTTATTCTTTTTTTAATTTTTTTAAAGAATTATTTAGGGCCTCCGCTGGTGATGATCACACCTAAAAGGCCTGACATGAACTGCCTCTGCAGGCCTTGCCAGGCCTGTTTTTGCCAGGTCTGTAGTTAAGCTACAGGAACCAAGTCTGCCCAGCTTTGTCAGCCAGAGTCTTTTCTTACTGTTCCTCTGTTCTGTATGCTCTTCTCCTTCCACTATCCTTAACTCACCTTTCAGATCTCAGACTCCAGTTCTTCAAGCCTTCGCTGTCCCCAAAGTCTTTATCAGATCCCCAGTTTAATCTGACAACACTATCTTCTTTCATTGTACTTACTAGAGTTGTGATTTCCCTGTATTTAAATTGGATTTATGTTTTCTAAAATTCTTGTTATTGATGTCAAGATAATTTTAGCTTATAAGAAAATAACTCATAAACTGTGAAGACTCCTAGAATTAAAAAAAAAAATTAACATCTTTACAAATGAGGTTAAGCTCTGAAAGATGACATCCTTGCTTATGAGTGAGAAATTACTAAGGGGATGTCTCCCTTAAGGATTCCTAGTAATCCTAATCTAAATCATTCAGCAGAAATAACTGTTCTCTGCCAACAGGGAATCATTGGGCATAGGAATTGCATGTGTTAATAAGACCCAGACAGCCCCTCCCCTCAAGTAGCTCACAGTATTTTATTTTGAAATATCCAAGATGTCATAAATCTGACTTCTGTGGTTTTATCAAGTGGTGCCTGCCATTTAGAATACAAACTGGGTGATGGGTACAATAATTTCTTTTGATCTAAGGAGAGAAGAGTCTCCCACTGTTTTCTCCTACTGGTTCTTACCTCTTTTGTTGAGACATGCTTTTAGAACTATCTCTGCTGAAAAAAAAAAAAGAGAGTGGGCCTCCCCGGTGGCGCAGCGGTTGAGCTCTGGGTTGCGAAACTGCGCGCGGCCTCTGCGGCGCCGGTTCGATCCCCGGCTGCTCCCCGGCCACCGGAGGAGAGTCCCACATGGCGCGCAGGCCTCTCCTGCCGCCCGCTGCTCCCCTCAGCAGTGTACTTCGGTCCTTCTGCCTGCTCTGCTCCCCGCTCTGGCTCTGGTGAATTCTCTCACCCTCCCGTGCTTCTGACTGTACCCAGTGCATGTATAAACAAAAACAAACAAACCAGCAAACAAATAAATAAAGCATGCCTCTATTAAAAAAAAAAAAAAATAAAAAAAAAAAAATAAAGTTTTAAAAAAAATAAAAAAAAAAAAAAAAAGAGAGAGATCCTTAAAGAATTCAGGCCAAGTGGTGCTCAGTTTGCATTTCCTATTATTGAGCAGAAACTTGTCTGGTATCTACTCACCAGGAGCTGTCTTTGTGTTTCTTCTTCTTTATCCCCAGGAAACCTGTAGGAAGTGTCAGGGACTCTGGAAAGAGCACAATGGACTCACCTGTGAGGAACTAGCTGAAAAAGATGACATCAAGTACCGAACATCTATGTGAGTAACATAATTAAGAGGGGCTTATTGACTAATTCTCAACACCCCCATTGACCTTCTTTTTGGCAGAGAAGTCATATGAATGACAAGATCTCAAGCCACCCCAGGCTAGAGTGATCTCAGGGAAGTGACCTAATGCCTGTACATTTTCTGTTTTTTCATCTCAGCAGCATCATAAAGCTGTTCCTGTGATCAGATACAACATGTTGAATGCCTTGCATTTATGAATTCAATGTTGGTTTCTCTTTTCTTTATCATTTAAATAAATAATCAGGTAACATTTTGATTAGATTAGGGTTTGTTAGTGTTGCTTATGTTTATGTTTCCTATAGGATACTGGTGGCCTGAGATATTAAGTAGAATTACAACCTCCAGAATGCAGAATAATGTAATCAGTCATGATGCATGCCATTACCATACAGCATTCCCTATATGATTGAGCACTTAAGAAATATAAACTTACTAAGATATATTGACTTAAATAACACAGAAGTCTATTTCTCCTATATAATAGTCCAGACTTGCCAGGCCAGCGGAGTGGATCTGTCCCATGAGGTCACTCAAAGACCCAGGGTTCTTTATCTCATTGTTTTGCCATTTCCTGCGATGGTGTTCTCATCCATGTGATTGTCAATGGGTTGTAGTCACATTTACACTCCAGCCCATAGGACGGGAAAAAGAAAGAGACAAATCTTTAAGTTGTACATGATGCAGAAATTATATATATATACACACACACATGTATTGTGTATTACTTCTGTTCATACCCCATTGGTCTAAACTGGTCACACGCCCATAAGACAGACAGGATATGTAGTCTTCAGCGGGGTAACTTTATGTCCAGTTTAAATTTGAAGGGTAAGGGACAGGTTTTGTTACTTAAAAAAAATACAGTGGAGCAGTTGATAGTCTCCAAAATCACCACCACAGGTTGGTACAGTTATCTTCATTTTACATATAATTCAACTGAGGCACAGACAGCCCAAGTCATTTTCACATGATCACATAGGTAGTAAATGGCCTAGCAGTGATTTGAACCTGGGCAAATGACTTACTGTGTTCTTTGCCACAAGTTTAGTAGGCAGATTAATGGCCCCCAAAGATGTAACTGCCCTAATCTCTGGCACCTGTGAACTGGTGAATATGTTGCCTTATATGGCAAAGGGGATTTTGCAGATGTGATTAAGGTTATGGAGCTTGGGCTTATCCAGGTAAACCCAATCTAATCACATGACTCCTTAAAAGCAGAGAGCCTTTCTCTGGTCAGAAGGACATGCAATGATGGACAAAGAGTCAGAGAAATGTGAGAAGGACTTGATCTCCCATTGCTGGCTTTGAAGATGAAGGAAGAAGGCCATGAGCTGAGGAATGCAGCAGCCTCTAGAAACAGGGAACAACCTTCTGCCAACAGCCCAAATGAGCAGCAAACAGATTCTCTCCTAGACTCTTCAGTAGGTAATGCAGCCTGCCAAAGACCTTGATTTAGTCTGATGAGACCCATGCTGGACTTCTGACCTACAGAACTATAAAATAATAAATTTGTATTATATAAAGCTAATAAATTTGTAGTGATTTGTTGCAGCAACAATAGAACACGAATACGCATTTTGTTAGCAGAAGTGGATTGCTGCTGTAACAAATACCTCAAATGTGGAAGTGGGCTTCTAATTGGCAATGGGTAGAGGTTGGAAGAATTTTGAGAGGCCTAATAGAAAAAGACCTCAGTTACCTTGAACACATTGTTAATAGAAATATGGACATTAGAAGTCTACCATTGAGGGCTCAAAAAGTCTACCAATGAGGAACATTAAAGGCAAAACCATAACTGTCTTGGAGGATATATAAATCATGAATAGACTTTTAGTGAAAATATGGACATTAACAGCATTGCTGGTAAGGACTCAGATCTCATTATCAGTCCCTTTTTAAGTTGTTTTTAGGGGAGAGATTGATCCCAGTATCTCATTTCCACCATGTTGATGACGTCCTTCAGCTGGTGAGGACTCAGAAGGAATTAAGGAACATGATTTTGAAAACTGTAGGGAAGATAATCTTTGTTACAGGGTGGCAGACAGTTTGGCTGACTTGTGTCCTGCAGTTATGCAAAAAGCACAACTTATAAATAATGAAATAACATTTAATTGAGATTTCCAAGCAAATATTAAAGAATAGAAAATATGATTGGAAACAAATTGATTGAGGGAAGAGATGTTAACAAAAAAGCATAACTTGAGATGATAAAAGACCCTAATAATAAGAGATTCACTGTCAGGAAAAGCATGCTCTAGAGGAATAAAATGAGGATGTGTTCAGGTCAGATCAGTCACACAAAGGCTCTTTGAAGAGATTGAGGGAATGACTCACAGACTTCCCCCAATCTAACCAAGGAGTGTCTAGGAAGTTCAAGCATTTTCCCTCAGCCATCTGAACAGAGGCCAGATACAGAGATTAGATTCTAGGAAATATCTGTGAGTGAGCCTCATGTCTAATGCAGTAAATCCTTGTGACACACAAGGGAGCTCTACAAGGTTCTTGAGAACTTTGTATCAGAAACCCTGCCAGCTTAGACTGAGAGAGAAAGTACAAAACGAAAGCTGTCTGTCAGATTCCCCAAAATTCTACAAACAGAAACCATCTACCATCCTTGAAAAAAGGATTTCTCACAGAGTAGAGCTGTGGGCCCAGAGGGTAAGCCTCAAACTATAGAATCATTCTCAAATCTAAAATACAACAGTGTTTGCCAGACTGAATTTCTAAATTGATTGGGAATAGTAGCTCCTTTTTTCCTTCCATCTTCTTCCTCCCTTTGAACTAGAATGTCTGTTACTGTTATCCTAGACCTGACCCATCATTGTGTTTTAGGAGCAGATAACTTGTTTCTTCAGTTTCTCAGTCCCACAAATGGAAAGGAAGTATGTCCCAGAGTGGGTCATACCCAAAGTCTCACCAATATCTCTTTTGTACCATGACTATTAAATGGGACTGTTGAGTTTAGGAGATACAAATGAGATTTGGGACTTTGAGTTGATGCTATAATACAATGAGACCTTTGGGATGAGGTGACTGCAATTTGTGTGCAGAATAGACATGAAACTTTGGAGGCCAGAGGAACAGACTGTGGTAGACAAAAGAATGACCATGCCCTAGTCCTCAAAACCTGTGGTATTTTTACCTTACTTGGCAGAGGGACTTTGCCATGAAATTAAGGTTGTTATAACAATAACATAACATCATAATCACAAATACTGCTGCAACTAGAAAAGTCTAAAGTTTGTTTCTCAAATCTAGGTTTATCACTGTCTCTTAGGCAGGCTTTATAATTTAGAGTACGTGCAGCTTAAAGTGGCATGGCTTTGAGGTGATAAACATGTTGATGATTACTCTTCCTTCCAAGTAGTCATCTTGTCAGGCAGTATGTGTATTCTGGCAGTTTACTTTTGACTAAAATACCTTAAACTTCCCTTGGAGTTAGTTGTCTTTCATCAAGTTTATGAGCCAACTCCCAAAATGTCTGTTCTTGCTGCTGTGGCTATGTCTTGTCTGGTTTGAACTAGGAGGAGGGGATAGGTTGCTGGGTGCCACTAGGAAGGATGTTTTATTCATGAAGTCAGTGCAGATTTATTGAGTGCTCACTATGGATAACTGTAGTTAAGAACTTTGATCAAATTTCTTAATCTCTCTATGTCTCAGTTTCCCCACCTGTAAAGTACAGAGCATAAGTATATTTACTTTCAGGATAATTATGAAGATTAAAGCACCCAAAATGGTTCTTACCACATAATAAGACTGCTTGTATCCTAGTTTTGTTTTGTTTTTTTGTATGTTTGTTTGGTTTTTTAAGTAGACACCCGGATGTACAAATGTGACATGAGCACATTAACAGTTAACTACTTACATTCAGAGCTTGCTTGAGTCTGGTCAGATTTATTCTACTTGCAGTTGTCTCTCCAAGATGCCCCATGAGTATGGGGGGGACTGAGTTATGGTCCAAGAGATGTTTCATAGAAGGAGAAGAACTGGTTCCTTTTTGTAGCAGAGCTGCCATTCTGATTCTCCTATCAGTTTCTGCTGACAGCTCCTATCAGTTTCTCCTGATCTGCTATAGGCACTGGGAGCCACATCGGCTCCACCAGCACCTGGAAGGCCCCTCTTGGTCTGGGCCCTACTTAAATCTGGTGCCTTTTGAATTTGCAGTAAATGAATCAAAATATCATATCCAAATATGATAAATGTTGGTTCCAAAATCTAGAAAAGCTTCCCAATGTGACTTCCCAATGTGACTTCCTTTTCCAGGGGAGCAGATACAGGATAGAGCAATGTGTGCTTAATTCTGGAAGGAATAGTGTGATATACAGACCACCAGAACATTATCGAGATTATAGATCTCTATTTTTTCAAGGGATTAATCTCTGGCATGCATACACTTTATTAATGTATCATAGTGTCCCTGCTGCTTCCTATTCACTAGACTCTATGTATTTGAATAAAGCAGTGTGTTGTCCTGTTCGATTACAGATGATCAGGGTCCTTGGCAAGTATTTCTGGTATTCTCTACTTATTGGACAAAGAAAACATTTTCCAGATCAATGACTACATACCAGTTGCCAGAGGCTATGTTTATTTGTTCCGGTAGAAAATGTTATCTGGAACAGCAGCTAAATTAGAGTCAGCACCTGATTAGGTTTACAGTAATACGCTGTTCTCCAGGACACATTCTTCTGTACAGGCCAATTAGAAGTAAAAGGAGTTGTGTTGTAAATCAACTCCCCTGCATCTTTGAAGTCTTCACTGGTGCCCACAAGAATCTGGTATTACTTTCTGTAAGGAGGGGTATTCCAGGGGTTTCCACTTCCTTTCTCTACCAACTAGCCCTATCTCCATGGACCACAGAGCCAAAGAATCCTGCCAGCGGCTCAGTGTTAAAAATAAGAAAAACTAGGTGCACACAGTTTTGCTGTTGCTGAATCATAAAATATAAGTGGTAGGAGATGAAGCAGGTGTTACAACAAATACATATACAAGAAGGCTCATAGCAGCACTATTCACAGCAACCAAAAGGTGAAAACTACCCAAACGTCTGTCAACTTATGAATGGTAAATGAAGTGCACTACAGCCATTAAAATGGAATATTATTCGACCATAAGAAGGGAATGAAGTGCTGCTATATGCTGCAACATGGATCAGCCTTGAAGGTATGCTAAGTGAACAAAGCTAGTCACAAAAGGCCAATCTTGGGCCTCCCTGGTGGCACAGACGGTTGAGCCCAGCACTGTGAAGCTGCCCGCAGCATCTGCAGTGCAGTTCATTCCTCACCGGCCATGGAGCAACCCACATGGCGTGGCAGACCTCTCCTGTCTCGCCCGCTGCTCCCCTCAGGAGTGTATTTCCATCATTCTGCCTGTTCTGTTCCCCACTCTGTCTCTGGTGAATCCTCTCACCTCCCACACCTCTGGCCTGTACCGCACTTCTTGTAAGCATCAATAAATAAATCTTTAAAAATAAAAATAAATTAATTAAAAAGCCAATCTTAGTTTCATATAACTATCCTTAGGGATGTGGATATTTGCCTATGCATAAATAGAAAATCTGTTAAAGGCCAAAAGCAGATTAGCAGTTATAGGGGAAAGTAGAAATGGAGTGATTGCTTAATAGGTATGGAATCTCCTTTTGGAGTGATGAAAATGTTCTGAAACTAGGTATAGGTAATAGTTAACACAACACTGTGATTATACTAAATACCCCAGACGGTGCATTTTATGTGTATTCTACCACAATAAATATGTACACACACTCAAAAATGAAAGCCATTTAAGATTTTAAATAGTGTATACCAAAAAAAAAAATGAAGACAGCTCTCAAAGAGACTTTTCCAACATACTTAGGTAGTGATAAGAATAATGAAATCATTGGATATTGATTGGTCATATAGAGGAGGGCAGTGAACATTCCTGTTTGAGCATGAGGTCAGCAGACACAGCTGCAACTCAGGCTTCTCTTCCTGTCCTGCAGAGGAATACATCCTGTGGGGCTATTTGTTTCCTGCCTAGTCTAGAATCTAGTTGTCAAATCACCCGCCTCCCAAAAGAATCAACTGTGATTTCTCTTCAGTCCTATTTTGCACTTTCGTGTTACTGTATCAATGATTACCACACCCCATGATAGAAATTCCTTTTTTTTGGTACAGGCCCATTCTGGCCCTGTCTAACATGGTTCTTATGAATGCAAAAGCAGAGGATTTGAATAGATATTCATACAATATTGAATAACTATTTGGATATTATAGCACTGTTGAGTTGTACATTTTATATGTTCCTTCATCCATTTGGGGGAGTGCCTTTCTCCCTTCTCAACCCTGTTGTTATTATATTTCACAGTGGCAACTGACAGCTTGGTAGAAGGGGAAGCAAATGCCCCTCTTGCCAATCCTTGAGGAAAGTGCTGTGTAGACTGGACCTTTGGCGGGGACTGGTGGGGGTGTTAATTTGTTTTCTTTGGGTTTTACCACTTCTTTCACATGCTGTGTCCTAATCACATACCCAGGGAATAAGGCACCTCGAGCAACCAAAGTGCAATGTCTTAAAGGCAGACTTCAGTTCGGGTGCTCTTACAAAGAAAATTTGTGCTGTAGAAAATTGCTATTGTGTTTTGGTCATGGCATTTTATATTGGAGACTTTTATCAGAACCTTGGTTCTTTTTTTTATCAATTTTTATTTGCTTTTCAATAAGTTTAAATCCTTGAGGGGTAAAGTATCACACAATTGCTGTGTCCAGTGGCCTTAGCAGAAAGCTTGCTTCAGAATTTTGCACCAGCCATACCACTGTTTCTATAGGCGTGGGTTACCTTCCCCCAGATTACTGGTTTTATTTGGTTTGCCACTAGGAGTCACGATGTTGTTCTTTGCTCTGCACATATAAGCACATCTCTCGGCTAGATGGAATTCAGTTTCATCTAGAGCATAAACACCTCCAGTTTTAAAAAGAACTATGTGCTCCTTTTGGTTGTAGAGATCCCGCTAATTGCCAGCAGAAATGAACTTGTACCACAGCCTTCCAGCCACATTTTATTTTTTTTTAAAGATTTATTTATTTATACAAGAACTGGGGTACAGTCAGAGGCACAGGAGGATGAGAGACTTCACCAGAGACAGAACGGGGAACAGAACAGGCAGACGGACGGAAGACACTGCTGAGGGGAGCAGCAGGCAAGGCAGGAAAGGTCTGCCGTGCCATGTGGGTTTCTCCCTGGCCGGCCAGGAATTGAACCTGCACTGTAGAGGGTGCAGACTGCTTCACAGTGTGGTGCTCAACCTGCTGCGCCAACCACATTTTTTTTTTAAGATTTATTTTTATTTATACAAGAACTGGGGTACAGGCCAGAGGCATGGAAGGGTGAGAGGATTCACCAGAGACAGAGTGGGAGCATAACAGGCAGACTGACTGAAATACACTGCTGAGGGTAGCAGCGGGCGAGACAGGAGAGGTCTGCCGCACCATGTGGGTATCTCACTGGCTGGCTGGGAATCAAACCCACACTGCAGAGTCTGTGGACAGCTTCACAGCACTGCACTCAACCTGCTGTGCCAACGGGGAGGCCCCCAGCCACTTTTTTTTTTTTTTTTTAAGATTTATTATTTTTATACAAGAGCTGGGGTAAAGGCCAGAAGCGCAGGAGGGTGAGAGGATTCACCAGAGACAGAGCAGGGAGCAGAACAGGCAGACGACAGAAATACTCTGCTGAGGGGAGCAGTGGGCGCGACAGGAGAGGTCTGCCGCACCATGTGGGATTCTCACTGGCCGGGGTCAAACCTGCGCTTCAGAGTGCTGCGGACAGCTTCATGGCACAGACCTCAACCCGCTGCGCCATCAGGGAGGCCCCCAGCCACATTTTAGATGTTATGTTCCCAGCAGGCCTTAGGTATTTGCCCCTAAAGTTCAATAACAGGAGCAAAACCTTCAGTTCTTAGCATGGGGCCATGTGCTATATTATTAAGTTGACAATAAATTCACTTTATTTAAACTCTGTCTCCTGGACAATGTTTTCTGTTCAGCAAAACTTAGAATTCATTTGTTCTTTTGTAACTTGAAACTGCCTCACATGAGGCCATTCAAAAAGTAGACTTAGTGAGGGCCTGAGGGCCTCCCCTGGTGGTGCAGCGGTTGAGCGCTGGGCTGTGAAGCTGCCCGCAGCCTCTGCAGCGCAAGTTCCATCCCCAGCCACTGGCGAGGGTCCCAAATGGTGCGCAGACCTCTCCTGCCACCCGCTGCTCCCCTCAGCAGTGCATCGTCAGTCTGCCTGTTCTGTTCCCTGCTCTGGCTCTGGTGAATTCTCTCACCCTCCTGTGCTTCTGACTGTACCCAGTGCTTGTATAAATAAATAAATAAATCTTTAAAAAAAAAAAAAAAAAGTAGACTTAGTGAATAGCAACCAATTTTTTTTTTTTTTTCTGTTTTTAAACACATAATCTGGCTGCTAAGGATCTACTACAGCAGCCCTAAATATCGGTAATTAAAAACACTTGCCTTCCCCAGACTCACCTGGCTGCTCTTAGCTAAAAAACTAGAAACAGTGGAAGGAAGGAGGCTGTGTTTTCTCAGTCTTCGGAGAAGTCTGCAAAGAACTTGCCCCCAGACTATGACAGTCTTTGCAGTGAAGCATTTCCCTGGTCACCACTTTGAGTTCCTGCATGGAAGGGAAGAAAGGTGCTCAGAGTAATGGTATCAGTCCAGTTTCAGGGCTGTCTGCCCTGTGAGTCCTTCATATTCTCCCTTAGTCTCTATAGTCATATCTTTTGACTCCTTCCCTTCATGCCAGCTGAGTGGCAGCACAGCCTCTGCCCTCTGCCTTCAAGGAACTCAAATTGGTAAATGAAGACAGATACATAGACAATTATAGGCCAAGGCGACAAGTGTTAAGTTTAGACTCATGAACAGAGCACCAAATAAGCAACTAATTCGTCGATGCCAACTCTTAACAAAGAGCCAAACCTGTCGTTTGAACTGTAGTCATCTGCCCCTCCCTCTCAGTTAAGATCTTTCTAAAAACAAGTAACCTCGCCAGGAGCTTCCCATTTGTCAGGATTGAGTCATATGCATGCCTGCTCCCTAGCTATAGGGGAGTCTAGAATGTGGGATTCTAACATGGAAGTGGACTCTGCCAACTACTGTCACGGGCCATGCATGGGCTCTGCCAGCAGAAGTCATAGACTGACTATTAGATTATCCAGCCATGCCTGTCCCACCCCCATGCCAAGTATTTAAAAGTCTAAGGTGTGTATGAAAGTAAGGTTTAGGCTTAACCAGCTAGCCATTATCCCACTTTGTATATACAAAGCACATTATTCAGTAAGACTGAGTTTTTTCTTTTCTTTGTAAACCTACAGGCCCTCTTATAACAAATATAACAATCATGTACTGATGCTAGTTATTGCACATTGTACCAGAGTGCTTTAGGTCTATGATCCTCAAAACAAATTAAATTGGGTTTACTCAATTTAAAACTAAGGAAACTGTCTCCAAGCAGTTGAGTAAATTATCTAACTGATAAACTGAACCCAGTTATCAGACTCCAAAATACAGACTCCTTTTACTCTTTAAAACATCATAGATGGAAGAAAATAAGTACTTGATGGCCGTAACATTTTGCTTTCCTGCTCAGCTTCCAGGCCATCTCTAATTACATTTTCTTTTTTTCAGTGAGGAAAAAATGACTGCTGCCCGTATTAGGAAATGCCACAAGTGTGGGACTGGCCTCATCAAATCTGAAGGCTGCAATCGAATGTCCTGCCGCTGTGGTGCCCAAATGTGCTACCTCTGCCGAGTGTCTATCAATGGGTATGACCATTTTTGCCAGCACCCTCGCTCTCCAGGAGCCCCTTGCCAGGAGTGCTCAAGATGCTCTCTTTGGACCGACCCCACTGTAAGTGAATGCATCGTTTCCTGTTACTTAGTAGAGAGAAAATATCAGAAAGATAGGATAATGAACAGATTTTACATATACATGACAAGTTTTGACTTCTGAAAAGTAAGAAATTACATAGACTGAAAACCACAGGAAAAAATTTGAGAAAATGTTAAATAAAACTACTCCTCAGAAAGGAGCATGCCCAGTTATGAGCAAATTCTTTCAACCCTTTAGGGAATAAAGTTTGTCTATGCCATCTGAAATACTCCAGGGCATAGAAAAGAAAGAAAAGGTTTGCATGTATTTGTATAAAGCCAATATAATACTGATACCAAAATATATAAAAGCATTCCCATTAAGTCAAATATAAGACTGTCACCACCATTTTATGCTGGAACTGCTAATCAGTACAATTAACTAAGAGAATAAAAGGCATAGATATTAGAGAAGATAATTATTAATATATTAGGCACCCTGTTTGTCAGACACTTTCCTTAGCACTTTTTTATGTAAAGAAGGACAAATTTACCATTTTATTTTTTTTTTTGTTTATTTATTTGTTTGTCTATTTGCTTGTTTATACATGCACTGGGTACAGTCAGAAGCGCGGGAGGGTGAGAGAATTCACCAGAGCCAGAGCAGGGAGTAGAGCAGGCAGAAGCGAAGTACACTGCTGAGGGGAGCAGCGGGCGGCAGGAGAGGTCTGCGCCATGTGGGACCCTCCTCCGGTGGCCGGGGAGCAGCCGGGGATCGAACCGGCGCTGCAGAGGCCGCGGGCAGCTTCGCAACCCAGCGCTCAACCGCTGCGCCACCGGGGAGGCCCAAATTTACCATTTTAAACCTGAGAAAAGGCAAAATAATCAACTTGAAAGCTATTAGAAACAGTGGAAAGATGGCTAGATGGAAAATAAATACAGTGTGCCATTCACAATAGTAATACAAATCATAAAATACCTTAGAAATGAACTTTAACAAGAAATATGAATAGACTTGAACAGGAGAAATATGCTATGCTCTTAAGTAATTTTTAAGTTTGAAACAATCACAGTCAGTTGTAAGTTGGTTTTTGCTTTTTTTTTTTTTTTTTTAAGATTTATTTATTTATTTATTTATATAAGCACTGGGTATAGTCAGAAGTACAGGAGGGTGAGAGAATTCACCAGAGCCAGAGCAGAGAGCAGAACAGGCAGACTGACGAGAAACACTGCTGAAGGGAGCAGCGGGCGGCAGGAGAGGTCTGCGCGCCATGTGGGACCCTCGCCCGGCGGCCAGGGAACAAACTGGCACTGCAGAGGCTGTGGGCAGCTTCTCAACCCAGTGCTCAACCACTGAGCCACCCGAGAGACCCCTGTAAGTTGGTTTGTAAGAATAGTAGTGTGATATGTTCTTGTTCTACCAAAAAGTGAACCCACTAACTTGGAGCCAATGAAAAGCCTGGAGGAAGCACATAAAGCCCACAGGAGACCGTATGATAACCTCACTTCACTGGGGGCACATCAAGATGACCTGCATAGTGGAGAAGCACCTGTCCCTCAAAGGGAACACCTGTTAGTTCAGAGCTTACTTCTTTCCAAAGTAATCTAGAAGCTTAACTGTTGTTGCTATTTAAATTCAGTAAGATTCCTTTTTTCTGGAAAAATTACCTAGAATAATATGGAATAAGCAGATAGCTCTTTTTTTTTTTAAAGATTTATTTATGCATGCAAAAACTGGGGTATAGGCCAGAGGTGCAGGGGGTGAGAGGATTCACCAGAGACAGCGTGGGGAACAGAACAGGTGGATTGATTGAAATACACTGCTGTAGGGAGCAGCGGGTGAGACAGAAGAGGTCTGCTGCGCCATGTGGGTCAGCTCCCTGACTAGGGATCAAGCTGGTGCTGCGATGGCTGCGGATAACTTCATAGTGCTGAGACTTAACCCCTTGCGCCGCCAGGGCAGCCCAACAGATAGCTCTTAAAGACAAAAGAAACCAGAAACAGACCCATAAAAATTTATGTATGTACAATAGCTAAGCTTTGGAAACAGCCCAAATGCCAAAAAATAGATGACTGTGGACAGATTCACAGAGCGACGTTCAACCGCCTGCGCCACCACGGGAGGCCCCCAAAAATAGATGACTGGATCAAGAAGATGTGGTACATATATACCATGGAATATTACTCAGCATTCAAAAAAGATAAACACATGCAATTTGCAGCAACATGGATGGCCCTGGAAGGGATCATGCTCAGCGAAATAAGCCAAAAAGAAAAAGAAAAATACCGGATGGTCTCACTCATAGCAGGAATCTAGAAAACTTAAATAAGGGACCAGGAAAATGAATAACTATAAGAAAGTGAAAATCAAAATCAACAAAAAACTATGAACCAGAGACACTTTTTGGGGGGTGGGGGGCGGGAGGGGAGGGATTGGGGTCAGAATGGGGGGGTTGCAATTGTATGGGGAATATAAAAATAAAATTTATTATTTAAAAAAAAAAGACTTCATGAAAATTTAAAAAAAAATTTATGTATGATAAAAATACCATTCAGATCACTGAATTAATGAAGGGCTCATCCAAAACGATTTGGTATTGTTGGGACTAATCTGAACAGAAAAGCCCCTATCCTCATGCCTGTTTCAAAACAGGCATCTTGGATGCCGATTTACTGTGCAGGAATAATGATTGATGTGACAAGAAATGATAGGAGCTGAGGGAAGAGACCCCTAAGGATGGAGATGTGAGCAAGTGTCTCTCGAGACAGCATTCCTAGTGAAACCTGCAAGAGGAGGAAGAATGAGGCAGGCCTAGGACAAAACAAATTTCGCCTGTTTGGGGAACAGAAAAAGACCTGTGTGACTGGTGAGTGGTAAGCTAGGGAGGAAAATAGGAGAGGCAGCCCTGAACCTTGTTGTGGGTCTCACCGACTATGCAGGGAGCTGTTGCAGGACTCTGAGTATGGGAGTGACTTGGACTCATTGAGATTTTCAAGTTCACACTAACTACTACATGGAAAGGGAGAGGATATTTAAGGGTTATTTGGGGCATGGGCTAACCATCTTGAAAGTCTTCAAGAAAACAAAGGAGATGACTTTTAATCTTAGAAATTACATTAAGTTGGGGCTACCCTGGTGGCTCAAGGGGTTAAGCGTGAGCACTATGAAGCAATCCGCAGCTACTGCAACACGAGTTTGATCCCCGGCCAGGGAGCTGACCCACATAGCGCATCAGACCTATCTTGTCATGCCTGCTGCTGCTCCCCTCAGCAGTGTATTTCAGTCAATCCGCCTGCTCTGCTCCCCACTCCTGCTCTGGTGAATCCTCTCACCAACCCCCACCTCTAGCCTGTACCCCAGTTCTTGTATGCATAAATAAATAATTTTTTTTAATTACATTAAGTAATCTGTTAGTGTCACATCAAGACAGACTAAATACACATAAATCCTTTTTGGCAGAAGATACCATAAACAAAGATAAAGGTAAATGGATAAACTGGGGACATAGTTAGGACTATATATAATATAGTTAAATGTTATTAATGTGGTAAAGAATGATATGACTCAATAATAAATCAGTAAACATCCCTATGTTAGTAAGGATCAATTGTTAGTAAGGCTATGAATAACAGAAAGTCTAGAAACAGTATTTCTCCTTATGTATAAGTACAGCCCATGGGTGGGATGTTTACATTATTACATTGTGAGCTATAAAAAGTGATAATGTATATCTGTATTTTAGAACATGGAGGTAGGAACATCATGGAAAGGTTTACATGGAGAACACAAACAGCAGGTGGCTGGTGTCACAGATCCAGGTTACCACAGGGGCAAGCAATAATAAAAATGATTGATGACTGTGAAGTAGGCCAGGCCTAGGAGACCTTTGGGTGTGGTGAGGAGTGTGGCAAACAGGCAAGTGTTGTATTCAGCTCCTGAAGATTATTTCCAGATGAGACTGTTCTCAGAGTTACCATGGCTTCAGATTTTCTAGGGAATCTGGAAATCCATATTTTAACATGAAATCTGGTATTTAAAGGTTGGCCATTAATCCATTATCTTTGTAAGCCAAAGAAAGTCTCATCAGCCACCAGTCATTACCTCAATGTAGATCATCTCTAGTATGCTCTACAAGAGGTGTCAGGGTAACAGGTGGCCACTGTGTGAAAGCCACAGCAGACCACTCTGGTGGCCTGGTCCTAATCCTCTACTCATTTTTGAAAAATGAACAAACCGGTGAGACTCTGTGGAAACCAGGTGTCTGCTTGTCAGGAACAGCCTCTGTCACTGTTGGAAAATTCCAACAGTATTCCACTGCTCTATGACCCTTAACAAGCCCACCCTCCCGTCTCCGGAAAAACATGAAAGAAAGGGAAGACTGTAAATAGACCTTCTGCCCTTCTGTGACTGTGAGAGGAGGTAGGTGTGGTGCTCAGTGGGCAGTGCTCGGCGAGGTACTAATCCCTGCCTTCGGTGAAAACTTTCCCAGTCTGGGGCCTCCCCGGTGGCGCAGCAGTTGAGTGCTGGGCTGCGAAGCTGCCCGCAGCCTCTGCAGCGCCAGTTTGATCCCTGGCCGCCGGCGAGGGTCCCACATGGTGCGCAGACCTCTCCTGCCACCTGCTGCTCCCCTCAGCCGTGTATCGTCAGTCTGCCTGTTCTGTTTCCCCGCTCTGGCTCTGGTGAATTCTCTCACCCTCCCTCTGGCTCTGGTGAATTCTCTCATCCTCCCTCTGGCTCTGGTGAATTCTCTCACCCTCCTGCGCTTCTGACTGTACAGTGCTTGTATAAATAAATAAATCTTTAAAAAAAAAAAAATACTTTCCCAGTCTGGGTTGTCCTGTTGACTCACTTCAGTCCCATCCAGGTAGCAAACTGAGGGCCTAAGCATCTCTAGGCACTCCATGAGGAAGTAGGATCTGTCGTCAGTGGGAGCTCTAGAAGTCTTCCTCAGGCTGCATTTTGTCTCTAGAAACAAAGCACAGTGGTAGTTCCCCACAAGAGGGGATGTGTAATAACAGCCTCGCCTATTCTCAGTGCTG